TGGAGAAATGGAAAGTTAAAAAAAGTTTATTTGAACCAGAAAGTTGTTGGAAACTCTATACTCAGAGAAAGTCCAAGACTCGTGAATATAAAAGACAACTACAACTCCTCGAATTCAGCAGAATAAATCGCACAAAATCCAGAAAGAAGTAGAAACAAGTATTCTATGGCTGAATGCGCCGTACGAAAGCAAAGGCCAAGAAAACCTAGAGAGAAAAGTACTCTTCTCCTCTCTTCACATCGCGATATGGCCAGTTTTGATATTCTATGTCATAATAAATAAGTACTTGGGGAAGAAGGGTTTTGGCTTTCTACTTCTCCATCTTTCCACAGAAAAATCTTCTGGAAATCTTCCAAATAAAGGAAAGAACCAATCAATTGAAAAAAATATAAACTCTATACAATCATATATAGATCATGTTATATGTATGTGTTTACAAATATTTTCTTGATCAGAGTTGAAACTGAGGTCAAGATCCATAGGTCAGAATCCTCAGAAAATAATAAGAGTGAAAAAAATTAATGAGCAGGGAAGTAATAATCATTTCAAGTGAGGTATAATTCATTTAAAATACCGAAGTGATTATGTTGTATATACAATGATTAACCGTGTTGAAAAATTTCTTTTATCATGTGGTATATGATCACCTCACAAAATTTCTTTGCTTGGACATTTTAGGAAACCGATATAGGTATATACGAGTATACCCTTGAAATGAGGATGAAGGCTATATTGTCATGTTATTCATTCACAAACTGAAATGAAGAAATTTGCAGCCCTAATAATAATATTTATTAAAATATACACGACATTTCTAAAATAGTATTCGAGAATATGGAGACTGAGGAAAAGTATGGTTATGGAGCTATTTCTGATTAATCTGTCTGATGTCTTTCTCAAATTAGCAATGACTTATCTAACACTTTTTAATGATTTTTTTTATAATTCCAAATCAAATTATCAACCAATCTTCACATTCCTTCGATTGCTTCAAAAGGGACATCTTGTACGCTGAGTAGCAGGTATTGGAGTTGAGAAATGGAAAGTAACTATTGAAAAATACTGAAAACAAGGTTCTAAGATCAGACGTTTGTGTTACATAACGATTGGTCAGAAATCTCCATTATAAAGAAATTACATTTGTGAAAATAATATACCACAAGCTAAACTGCTTGAAACGAATATCTTGGTGTTTCATAGTTTCAGAAACTAAAATATTATCAAAATTCATCAAATGAATTATTTGAAATGTGAAAGTAATGTCATCATAATTTATAAAGAAATTCTACAGTTTTCCACAAATTTTGATTCTCTCAATTGATATCTTTATGGTCGTTTTTCAAACAATATACAGTGTGTAACAAAAAGGGAGGTCATAAACTGAACCACATGTTTCGGGATCAAGAATAACTGGATTGGATATTACTTACCTCAATGCAAATGTGCACATAAAAAAGTTATAGCCCTTGAAAAGTACAAACTGAAAATCGATTGTTTTCTCGTATTTCATGAACTGTTTAACCTGTTGTAATTAAATTGAATCCATGGCTTTCTCATCGTAAATACATCTTCTTCATATAAAACCACGAAATCTGTTCAGCCAATAAAACATTTTGGAAGGTATTGAACTCCTAAAACCTCCCAAACTTTTCTTGGAATGATTCAATATTGTGATACCATTGGTTTAATATATATTTTTTTATTCTTTTTTCCTTCGTTGCACTTTTTCGAAAGGTCAGTTTTTATCGAGATGCAGATTCTTTTTCATTATCCTTTAAAAATTCATAAGTTGGCTGTTCGTCACTGTAGTTATTATAGATAAATAACAAATGGTTGCTTCAACCATTACATACTGTCAATTAAAGCTATCGATTATTACGCATTTTAAGTGTTGAGAAAAATTAAAATTTCTGTTACAATGGTTTATACGAGTAAGTTCACAGAAATGACAAATATGCATTTAATTCTGGGTTGAGTTTGGTAATCACTAGTGAATGCCAAAGGAATAGTGCAGCAGCTGCAAGGCATTATGCGAAAATATATCACAATCGGAATACACCAAACAGACGATTATTTATTTCCATTGATCGTCGTTTAAAAGAGACCGGTAGTTTGCGACCGCAAGTTGCTGGTAGTTCATTTTAGGAAATACCACACATCGGTACATATTTTTGTACCTGCAAATAACATGAATACTCAGTTATGAATACTTACATTTTGTTACTCAAAATTTTTGCCGTATCTTGATAAAAAAGTGCAACGAGATTAAAAAAAATTCAATGATGTATCAAACCAATAGTGTCACAAATGACAAAATGTAATAATTGTTGAAACAACTGTTTCTTATTCATCTGTAGAAACTACAAGTGTAGAACAGCCAGCTAAAGCATTTTAAAGGAAATTGAAAAAGAGCCCGCATCTCGATAAAAACTGGCAAAACATAGAAAAGTTTGGAGAGTTTTGGGGTTTCAATACCCCTATTGAAAACACTTTCCCAACACCAGAACAAAAAATTACGGTCTCTCGACGCACATTTCGCTAACCAAGTTAACGTCCTATTGGAATATTGGAAGAAAATGATTTTTATTCTGTACTTTCCAAGGGCCCTGTAACTTTTTTGTTGCACATTCGCATAAAGGTGGGTTATATCCAATGGAATTATTTTTGACCCCAGAATATATGGTTCAATTCATGACCCACCTTTTTGTTACACCCTGTATATTACGTACTTCCTTTCCGACCGCGACAGAGGACAGTTGTGCCGATAACGACCGCCCTCAAAAATGGCACGTTATTGTTGTGATCGGAATGGAGTTCAAAAGGGCGGTATAGTTGAAATAAGTGTCACGATCTTATAAATATTGAAGACAAATTGAGAGGACTGGCGGACTCCTACGCCAGTAACCAGGCTGGATGTCGACGAGGTCGTCAGTTAATTTAACACTTGTAAAGTGAGGTGTATGTGAAAGAAAAAACGAAAAGGTGTCCCGAAGAGGACGCTAACTTTATATAATTTATTATTTGTTATTTCTAACAAATAAGTGTGAAGCAAGGCGGCTGCGCCCCCTATTAATTTATACAATCGAACCTTCCAATCATGGAATGAATAGGTAATAATCTGAGAATAATTTAACATCTTGTCGCACCGTTTATTAAGAAATGGATAGGGTAAAATCCTGAGAAGAGAATATTTTAAAATATGCCTGACCACTTACTCATGGAATAGAAAGGATAGTTCAAGTAAAACCAAATCAATTTTGAACTGGTTCGAAAGGCTAGTTAGAAATTGAGTATGTGACAATTATTTAGACTGGTACGGCTGGGTAGACAGAGGGAATGTGCGAAATTCAACGTAAACGTTATTCAACCGCAGTTTATTCCAGAAATCGAGAATATTACAAGTGCTTGTAAGAGAATTATCCCTCAGAAACATTCCATAATATAAGAAATGAATTTGTAAACAGATTTTTCCATTGTCAGAAAGAGAATGGTGACCATTTTAAAAATTCACTAGGATACAATGGAATGAGTTTTAAGTAATGTTATTGAAATTGGGATAGTCATCTTTCATTTGCAGTTTCCAAAGAAGAATATAAAACTGGTTCGAAACGGCTTATATACGATTTTCAAAAATGAACCATCATTGGATAGAAAATTAAGGAACCTATCAAAAAAGGTATCTCAAAACCCCCTTTCTATTCGAAAAATTGTTTATAGCGTTCTCTGTGCGGCAAGTGGCTACACACTATTTCTTTTATTCTTTCTCATAAACGGCTATTCTCATAAACGGCTCAATTGATTTGGGTGCGGTGTTTACTAATGTATTGGAGTAAGCTTCACTCAACATTCACTTTTTATTTCAATGGATTCAGTTATGTCAATTTAAAGAAGCACCTCAAATATTTGGTGGAATAAAATATGATATGAAAATTCTGTAAAGTTGATTTGGTTGGTTGACTATACTTATAGTTTGAAACGATATTTTATATTTGTATATTTTCCACCGAAAAAAGTTACAGTGGAATTTAAAAGTGTAAGGTTGTTAATTCGCAAATAAAACAAAATATTTGACCTGAAAGAGGAGTTTACGGATAATATGGGTGGAAAAACATCTTGATAACAAAAATTAGCAAAATATCAATAATATGGATGTCAATAATATATTGATACTTCACTTAATAGTTTGTTTTCTTTACAATTCGGCTTTTTTATTTTTTGTATTGCATGTTTATTGTTTATTTCTTCTCGCATACTCCGTTATGATGTACGTTTTCTTACTCAGACTTGAATTGTGAGGACAGTTGAGCAAAGCAATGCAGTCGTGGTTTAGCGTAACACCATTGATGAGACCTACAGTGCTGTTTGGTGTTGGATTACTAATGCTTTATTTTTGAGCTTTGATGTCAACTTGTGTCTTTGAAGTGGAAGCTGCAGAGAAAGACTGAACGAATTTCGGCAGTCGATATCGAAGCTTGGCTTCAGGGATCCTCGTTTATCTTTGATGTTGGTAGACTGAATCTTCTGGTGGATCCTGTAAATGTCGTCTTTATTCATTATGAATGTGAGATACTTATACTCACAGTTTGAAATCAGACAACTGATTTGCTGTAAAATCTTTGTGAGAAGATTTGTTTTTCATAAAATATAATTGTATATTTTCTTGGGATTGTGTTTCTTCTATAAGACCTTTTTCAGTTTTCGCCGTAGACATAGTGACTCTCCGCGACCTTATATGTATAAAAGTTTACAGTGTGGACAGTTTGATGAGAAAAAAATAGTGTGGCAATACTTGTTGCTGAGAGGGGGCCCTTTCATCTTTGATTTTTGAAATAGAAAGGATATATGTTTACTGGGTCAGTAAAATTTTCGTCATTCAATCCTATAAAAATGTATGTTGACATTAAAATTTGTTCAGCTACTTACTTACTTCTTAGTTAACTAAATGTTCAATCTGAATGCCACCCGGGTTGAATGAACTCTATTCGACCTATTTTTTTCAGATGAAGCTCGTTGCCTGAGAACTATTCGTTTTCCTTCAGCCTGTCTACCTTTCCAAATGCCAAATGACATTCATAGTGTGGACGTCAATACCGCAGAATTATGGTTCCACAAGGAAAGTGATTTCCTAGATGAGCATAACCAAACGTTCATCATTTCGGAAGTAGCTCATTGGGATACAAATAGAAGCTTTCAAAAGACCACACCTATTGCTATTCAGGAAACAAGCTTGAATGGTAGGTGAGTTCTGGAAATGTATCAACAATTAACTGTTTTCAGCAGTTCATATATTCATTCAATTTTGCATTTTCGGAATGACAACTTTCTTACTTTGAATTGTATATTTGTATATTTTCCACCGAAAAAAGTTACAGTTGAGCATAATGATTCAACTATTCATTGAAACTTAGATGAAACATTTAAATAAACAAAAATATTTTTTTATTTTATAGAGGGGTGGTTGAAAGTGGATGTCTCTTATGTGGTCAAGAATTGGTTGGAGTACAAAAATTCACCAATCCATGCAATCAGTGTTGTCTGTAAAACATGTGGAATGGATAAATATCAAAGTCCGATCTCATTTAGGAATGATTTGAAACCATTTTTGGTTATTTACACTCATACTCAACAGAGGAGGTCGTACCTTCACAGAAGACAGAGAAGGTCTTCGAACTGTGAACCTGGAATCAAAGAATGTTGTAGGGAAAGTTTATATATATCTTTCGCTGAAATTGGTTGGGATGACTGGATAATACAACCCGAAGGTTACAATGCACACTTCTGTAGAGGTTCATGTTTAACAGCGTCTGCCATGACACTTAGTGCATCTCAGCATAACAGCATATTACAGGTAACTTAATTTTTTTTCACTCATCGAATATTTGCAAACCATTACAATATATATGATCTTTCATGAAGGTAATGAATAATATTCATCCAGTATAGAAAAAAACTTAAAATATAGAAACAATGAATTATAAAAGGTAAAACTGGAAAACTGAAACGTTTGGCGGGATGATTGGGAAAAGTGCTTGTTCTGGATATTGAATTATTTTTGTTTAATATACCAAAAGATTTGTATTGAAAGGTTTTTGGTGGTGAAAACTTCATTCGGAGGATTGAGTTTATTCACATAGTGATGTGAAATAATTATAATTTATTACAAGACATGTTTCGTTATTCGCCAACTTATATTCTCAACTACCTCAACTGCTTTTTCAACACAGTGGTATTTTCATTGAATACCCAAGATACTCCTATAATAGTAAAGTTTCTAGTTTTGATATAAAAAGAAGTTGCAATTCATCAGAGGACATATTTTTTGTCAAATAGTGTTTTATTGGGCTTGAACTTTGATATGTTCATTGCATTTGTTGAATGTTCCAGTTGAACCATAAATCTCTGGATAACTCTTAAGATATTGGTATTTTTCTACTCAAATATTTTTCGATTCTCAAATATTTCTTTTCATCTCCATTGCATTGAAAAAAAAATACTTCTTTCACCTTAGCGAACATCAGATTATTTTCAGATCTATTTTGGAAAACCTTCTCTTGTGTTTGAGTTATGGTATTTGATTGAGACATCTAGTATGATATTCAGTATGACTGAAATTGTATATGTGCGTGGTTTTATGAGTTTATTCGAAATGGAAACAATCACAATTTGAGATAACATTGCATATAAGTTTTTTTGAAGAAAATCATCTGTCTTTTGAAACCAAACTTTCCCAGTTTCGGCTTATAATGGAACATACTCACCTTCACCTTCAACAATCTGAAAAAATCAAAAATTGTAATAGAGAACTTTATACAGGTGTATACAGTTTGTCCCGAAAAGTTACCGTCAACTGGAGCAAATGGGATCACATGGGGGGAAGGGAATCAAAGTAATATTTTTCGTCTCAAAATATGCCTACCACTGTGCCTTGCACTTTCGCGTCTGCGAACTAGACTACCTGGAGAGAAGAGGGGTATTGAGTGGTTGGGTAGTGTGAATTGCGTAAAATGAGTATTGTGTATGTTGCTACGCGGGTCTAAGAGGATCAATTATTTACGAGGTGAATTCATCAATTTTGAATCAATATTTTATACATCATTTGCTTTTATTGTAATCTTAATTTCAGTGCCAAATCCTGAATTTGTTGAATTTAAAAGCTATAAGATCCGAGTAATGTCTATGAGGAGAACATTCAAAAATTTTTGTGTCTTACACAACCCTCACTAAAATAATAATAATAATAATGTTTATTCAGATTTAAATCACAAAAAGAAATAACTAAAGTAATAAATACAGTTGAATAAACATTGTAGAAACAACAGAAGCATCAGATGTTGCTTGTATGTGGTGAAACGAAGATCCAGATGAAAAAAAAATGAATATATGATAAATATCAGAGTATGAGAATGAATTATATATAAAGGGGATTTGCATATGAAAATAAACTACTTAATATATGAAATTAAAAACATATTAGATAATATAAAATCACAAATTCAAGTATAAATATAAAAAGTTGTCAGTTTTGACATATAATATTATTTGTTTATAAAATCATACAAACATAATACTAAATTGACAGTTAGATTCTACGGAAGGCATTCAGAGAGCTACGGCGCGGCGGCCATAACGCATTGGCCGATGAAAAAGAGAAGAAATTAGTTTTGTTACTTTGTGCAGAGTGGGGATTATATTTTCGAAGTGAAGATGTTCTATATATGATACAGCAATATTGTAACCGGTTAGGTAATTGTAACCAGGCATCGGTATTCAACTGTTAACCTAGCTGACAATGCCGATACGCGCTTCCGTAGGTAACTTTTGCTACAACTGAGATTTTTTTCTGAACTATAAACCAGCCTTATAAACATACCAACATCAAGTATAATAAATTATGATGAAACAAATTAATTTCACAGATTATCTCGGGTCTGTAAAAGTTGTTGTTAAACGTGGAGTTAAGCATTCCCGCAGTATATTAGATACTTATAAAAGTCAGTAAAAGCACCAGTGTCATGTTCTCTGTTGCTACAGACGGCACTTCACTATCGCCATATGTTGTTCATGAAGCTCAGCATATCTATTCTGGATGAACTGAAGGAGGATACGCGTTCAGCCTTTTCCCAAAAAGGGCAAGAAAACTCTTCCAAATAACTATAGACCAGTCGCTTTGCAATCAGTGATATTAAAAACCATGGAAAAAGCCGTAAACCACTACATCCTCAAATATTTGGAAGGCTTCAACATCTTGAGTGATCATCAATATGGCTTTCGGAAACAAAGATCAACAGGCGACTTTCTATCGTATGTCACCCATATTTGGAATAATGAAATCGATAAACATAGAGAGTCAAAACCAAGAGACCAACATATTGCTTTGCTGACAGCAGCACACTTGTCTCGTCATTACATTTGGATTCCAGGACATCGGCTGCGGATACACATCTTCACGGGCAGCAGGGGGTTAAATATCTCAATGAGGATCTAGAAGTAATTTCCAATTGGGCTGAAAGTAACCAGGTTCAATCCACTGCCACAAAAACCAAGGCATCGGTTTTCTCCAAAAAGATGAATGTCTCCGAACCGGATATAATGTCAGGACAGACGATTCCGCTTTTTGCTTCGTTAAGTTTGTTGGGGGTTAAAATGGACACCAATATGTCTTAGCACAATCACGTCGCTAGAATTGTAAAGGCTGCTTCTGAAAAGCTTGGAACACTGTTCCGAACCAGAAAACTGTATACACCTCGGCAACTTTTGATGCTGTGTAAAGCTCAGATCAGACCTTCTTTAGAGTATTCTCATGTATGGAGCTCCGTCCCCAAACATACCCTGAAGCTGCCGTATTGCGAATTGCATCCAGACAAGAGCCATCTGCCTGATTGGAGACACGAACAACACTTGCAACCTTAATAGTCGGGAATTTCGAAGAAAGGTTGGAGATTTGTCTCTATTCTATAGATACTTTTACAGGAAGTATTCAAGTGACTTGGCACATTTGATTCCACCAAGAACGGTGCATATCAGAAATACGCGACGGACTGTGGTTGCTCATCGTTTTGAAATTCAACTCAGTACACTTCTAACTTCACTGTTCAAGAACTCTTTCATTTGAAGAACGGCGTTTATGTGGAATAAAATTCCTGAGAACGTTTTTCCAAATGTATTTAATCTCCAGCGATTCAAATCCAATGTGAATCACTACTTTCGCACAGGCACTCCTCTAAGAGCGCCTTAAGGATAAGGATTTTCCTGTAGTGCTTGTGTTTTGTCCTTAAAAAAACACGTTATAACAGGACTAAAAATGGTTGGTTTGACGGTGACACATTTGAAGAGTGGTTTTCAACTGTAGCTTCGACTCGTTTAAGAAAACTTGAAGGCTTCAAAGAATGATAGGCAACAATTCAAGCAGCCACGTAACAGTTAACGTCGTGAAAGAGTGTGAAAAATATAATAATAATTTATTCTGCTGGCCCTGAACTCCACGTATATGTTGAAACCTCTTGATGTTGCCTATTTCACACTTTTCAAGGCAACATGTTGACAGGGGCTACAAAAACGGAAACTGAAGAATAGAGGCGTTCTTCCGAAAACTTCCGAAACTTTCAAACGAGCAAAGTCCAAGGTAACAGTAAAACGGAATTCAAAGCCGCCAGGATTTTTCCTTTGGTACCCAGATTGAACATCTTCCTCCAAATGAAGAGAATACTAACAATGAGGAAAGATAAAAGAGAACCTGGTGTGAAATTGTTATCCATTATTTGTCTCAATTCAGAACCGAAACCTGCCCAGCTCGTAAAAGAGGAAAAAACTAGGCGTGTCTCCTGTAAACAATGTTTCAGTTGAGAATTCATTACCATCTCTTACAGATAATGATGCAGAGGAGTACGATACCATCTCTTACAGATGATGCCGCAGAGGTGGACGACATGAAGCGAAGAAGAAAATGAGAATAAAGGAAATGAAGATGAATGAAACATCATATGTGACAATAAAACTGAAGGAGAAGTCAAATATGCAGTTGAAGAATTTGTTGTAACTAAATTGGAGACAAATAGAAGACTAAGATATTTCGTTGCTGAAATTTCAAAACTTAATGATGATTAACTAACTGTTCAAATCTTACGAAAAAAAGGGAACAGTTTTGAATTCTGAGGGTTGTCGTTCGTAGGGGTGCGACAGCTGGTTAATGGAAAAACATATTTTTTAAACAGATTTTACCAACTCGATTGTTGATGATATTGCAGATCTTTTAAAAACTAAAACTCAAAAAAAATATCTGCAATGAAGCTTGTAGAGGCTGCTTTATTTTTCATAACCTAAACTGTGGTCAATTATAATAATGACTGCAAAGTTTGTAGTTTGTATGTAACTGCAAGAGTTACTGATATTAGCTTGTTGTAATTCTGTCACTTTATCCAAGACACACTATTTCGTTTTAATTGAAAGGGACATATTTTTAGGAGAAATAGTTTTTGGAAAAAAGTGTGTCTGCTTTCTACTTGTTTATCTCCATACAATAGATATGATAAAATTCCCGTGAAAGAAAGAAAGTAATAACAGTTCGAAGAAAGAACCCAACCGGCTCAAACTTTATGGTGGAAAACCAATAATTTACTTACTTCAGGATGGAACAACGCCGTTCACAAGAAGTAAATCAGTGAGGAAGTCTCTCAGCAGCAAGTATCAGCAGAAACTCCGGCAGATCTGGTAATCTGAACTGTCGGGGAAGAACAAAGTCGCTTTTACAAATATGCTTGCTACTCCAATCGTACTCCGCTCCTTTGGAGTTTTGAAGTAGACCCGGAAGAAGCTGTATAAACTCGACGTGAAGACCGGCAAAATGATCCCAAATCATCCGTTCTTTGGTTACAGTTCTCCCGACAACAGGGAGGCCATAGACTTTTGAGTTTGGAATGTCTACCTAACAAAATGATACTGAATGAAGCCTGTGAAGTCGGTAGGGGTTTGAATCCATTTCTCTGCATGGTCCGCGACCATGAAGAAGTAAGAATCAGAGTTTTGTTTCAAGGCAACTGTCCAAGCTGCTGATGAACTTGGTTTAGTATTCGACACTGGATGAGGTGAATACAACTCTGTCACCATGTTGAAATCAGTTCATCAAAAGGCCCACATTGAAGCCATGGAGATCTCTTTACTCCTGCAGCTACACACGAATAAGTCGAATCATACAACTAAATTTGAAGCACCTGACTTTCCTCAGGTTGAGAGGGTTGAAATCGTAAATTGAGAGGTCCATCATGGTCTGCCAGGTTGGTGTCTTGAACACCTTAGTCTACCGTAGTCGCGTAATGGACGAAGAGGTTCCTGACACCAGATGCAGGCCCTGTAGCAAGGCACATTTTTCACCGGCATGTCCAGCATATGCAGTTTCAACCTATATCGATTGACAGACATAACGCGGCCTTAGGAGCATTGATGGGACAATGATTTGCTTAATTCTACAGAGCTATTGAAATCATTGTGAGGAATAAGAAGTTCCAAATTTATTGGAACTATTTATTCCCCACTCTTGAGCTGATAGCATGATGTGGTCCTCCTATACCATCAAAGGAAGACGATATGACGATATTTGTCGCACAGTTTTCAGCTCTGAAGGGAAGGAAAAAGACTTTAGACTCTATCTAGACCACGTTGTTCAAATGGTTGTTCTTAGTATTAGGGTACCTGGTAGAATGATGCCTTCTCTACTTTCGAATCTCAAAATAATACCTACTGGAAGAAAATTTCGACGGATAAAGTACCCTGAGAAAACTCTATGAATTGCGTTGTCATCATTGTCATTTGCGTTGTGATTGCGTTGCGATCATTGTCAAACCCAATGATCGTTGAACTCATGATAAGGGAAGTGGTCGTCAGTATCTACCATGTCCTCTGAATATGTTAGGGCTTCGAAAATAGGTCGTGATCGGAACAACCTCTCAGTTTAAAAATTATATTACATTCATTATTCACCAAAATACGAAATAGTTTCGTACTAATGACAAAAATAGCTGAAAGAGGTAAATAATTGGAGAACTGTTAGGCTCTACAGCCAATTTTTCCACAGTCTTCCTGAAAAGTTACTTTTTTTCCATATTATGGTCCATGAGATCTTTGCCTTTTTTGTGAAATTACATCATAACTGAATAAAATTGAACTTTTGGTATTCTTTACAGAAAGTTATGTACGGGCAAAACAGGTACCATGATACTCGTCCAGAGCTAACTCCATGCTGTGCAGCGACCCAATTTAGACCGTTACAACTTGTATATATGCACAGTAATAAGACGCTGACAACAAAACTTCTATCCAACATGATAGTGGAAACTTGTGGTTGCATGTGACCGACGCAGATAACAAGACAGTGATAGTTCATGACAGTATTCTGACTCTAGTGGCATTGAACGTTTTCCAGTGAGGATTGGAATGGACACTAGCTAAACACAAATTCAATTTTTATTTTTCGTTAATAGTACCCGAGCAGATAACAAGTATTTCATTGATATTATGATGAGAAATAATTCGTGAAAGCTACACCAGATTGAAGCGGCTAACGAAGACAGTAGGCTGGATATTTGAACTTGGACGAAAATGGTATAAAGTCATATTGAGATAATTTGAGAACTGATATATCTCTACAGAATGAGAAAACAATTTCAGATTTTAGCGATGCCTTTTTCATTTCTAGAAATAATCTGATTTCCTCTGAACTTACCTTACAAAAATGTCTCACTAATTGTAATAAACAAATTATCTAAAAAAGTTTTCAGAAGTAAAAAATACTAAATTTCAATGACACACGATTCCATTACAAAAATCTTTTTGACCTCTTTACTGAAAACACCTAAATATTAGCTTTTATTGGCATCTGATGAATAAATGACATATATCATATATTTACGCACGTCATAAACGAGGATATTCGAGTCATTGGTGATTGGGATAATTTCCACTGCAGTATTCAAATATCGTAAATTTTATTTGTTGGTTGCCTCTATCAAAAACCATCATTTGTGCAGTAACCAGTTGGGTAGAACAAGATAAATACTTTCAATATTATGAAGAATGAGAAATAAAACTTTCTATGTTTTTTACCACCTTTATTTATAACTAACGTTATTGAAAATTTTGAAAAACTCAACATTCAACATGAATTCTGGTCCTGGAAGATTTTTTGTATACAACTGTCAGTCGTTGGCGTCGTTCTTGTTGCGTACATCTAGGTTGCATAAAACAGTACCAATATAAGGGTGTAGACCTGCCCAAATTCAAAGATTATAAATTGCGTACACTTCAGATGGACTGCGGATATTTTTCAAAAGTATTTTCTCTCATATTTTTTACAGATTTGAAACTGTCAATTTTTTAACATTTTATTATTAAAAACTAACCAAACCTAATACCCTTACCTAGCTCACGAAGTTGAAGAGTACTACAGTGGGCTAATTTACTTATGTAATCCAGCTTGGTTAAGTACAGATTACTTCTACTGTGATGATTCCAATTTATGTACGAAATCTAGAAGTACACAATTAAGGAAACACCTCGATGACAGAGGGTAGGGAAATTGTTTGTCAGCTTGTCGAGAGTTTTTTGAAATATCAATATCATTTATCACGATCAATGTGTTGCTAAGACATCACAGATAGATGCATAGTATAATAAGTTTGAATTGAAAATCATTTTGAAATTGAAGAATTCTGTGAAGCGTATAGACGTACTCGTACACACACACACACACTCGTTCGTAAAACATTGATGGGAAATTTTAGAAATAATGCATTTGAATTTTTGACTATATTACATGTGGGAAATATGATCAACATTCTTTGTGGTTTCATTTCTGTACCTACTTCATTAACAAAAAAGCTTGTGTCATTTTTTCATGGATGGAAACTGCAGCTATCCACAGTATCAGTATACTCTGGTGCTAACAGAAATTATCCAGGTCACTTTTAATTTAAAAAAAGACAATACTTGAGATATTTTTCAACCTGATATATTTGTAATATTAGGATACACCTCTTTCATGAAAAACGATATTGAATATCGAAAGTATGAATTTATTTCTCAAAAATATTTATTTGTTTGTTTTTTTTTCTGAAGGTGAGTGTGATATTACATTAATAGTTTTTCCTATGGTTTTAATTTATTTTTTTATGGATTATTTATTTGATTTTCGACAAGAAGTTCATATTTGTTATTTTTTTTATGCACTTGATCAGTTGTAAGTATATAAATTCCAATAAATGAATTTGACAATTTTGTTTATCATTCATTCCGAAAAAAAAAATGTATGTAAGTATCTGAAATCTCAACGACTGATTCAGTCATTACTGAGTCGATGCCTACATCACTGAAGATGTCATTCACATCCTTGTAGGATAACTTTCTCTGTTGATTACACAATGTCATAGTAATGACAGGTAACGTAAGGGTTAGATCCAAAGTGAATGGGTCTATTCCTCCACTGCAACCCGTGAGAATTTATTGTCAGAGATTTCAAAATCCCGGTTGAATAATTTACTAGACGTAGTTGCACTAGACGCTCTGAAACCCTATATTAATTAATCTAAGCTGACTTAAGGCTGCATAACATCCTTAAGAGAACTGAAAGATATATCATCGCAAGTAATCTAATGTGGGTGCCAGGATATAAGGGAATCGAAAAACAATTAAGTCTTTCTGAAAAAGAAAGCTGATTTTCCTTTTACTGGCTCTAATCCTTACGGAAAATACGAAGTATAACTATAAACATGGAGAATCAAGAGCTGTTGCGCTTGATATTTCTAAGATCTTTGACCGTGAATGGCCAAACTTCGATGCTATGGCTTGTCGGGTCATTTTTGTGTATGGCTCTTATCTCGTCATTCCATTTGGATTCCAGGACATCGGCTACGAAGGCAGTGCACCACGAATTTCACTGTTTAAGAACTCTTTCATTTGGAGAACGGCGTTTATGTGTAATAAAATTCCGGAGAATGTTTTCCAAATGGATTCAATATCCAGCGATAAAAATCCAATGTAATTCGCAACTGTCGCACAGGCACCGCTATGAGAGCGCCTTAATGATTTTCCTGTAGTGCTTGTGTTTTGTCCTAAAAAAAGAAAAGAAAATAACGTAAATCGTTTCATTCTATTCTTCAATACTTTCATTATCTTATTCAATATACTTCACTCCACTATACCTAAACTATTCCATTCGAATTTTCCACAGTTCAAAACAATGTTTGAGCCACATTTCTAGAAGCATGTCCGCATCAAGAGCTTTCTTGAATGTTTTCAATGCTTCCTTCACTTTTGGGAACTTAAAAAAGTCACACGGAGCTAGATCTGGTGAGTATTATGGATGTACCGACACAGGGATTCTATGATTGACCATAAATGACTTAACAATCAGTGCGGTGTGTGCTGGAGCATTATCCTAATGAGGCATCCATGACTTGTTCTTCTACAACTCTATTCACCTTCCTCTTAATCACTTACGAAGAGTGGTTAGAACTTCAAGATGCTTTCTTCGTTCAATGTTTGTCCTACAGGAACCAAATTCACAAATGAATGTCAAAAAAAACATCAGGACGTTTGATTTTCATTCGGACTTTCAAGCTTTCTTCAGTCGTGGTGGCTGTGGACCCTTCCAGTGCATTGATTGCCGCTCTGGATCACAGGTAAAAATCGAAATTCTTGAATGTGATAACTGATTACAACAGTTAAGGAACCTTCTTGATGTTCCCAAGGTGTTAGAAAAAATGTTCATTCGTGAATCCTTCTGTTCAAGCGTGAGGATTTTAGCCACATTTTGGAACACACTTTTCTCATATTGTGATATTTATCTAATTAATGTTTTATCGATTCCTCGTCAATTGCAAGGATATTTATTGATGATTGATGAGATTAGCTAGTTTCTCCATGTTTTCAAAGACCATCCAAAAACTCGATATTTTCTAGCCACACCTCCTATCATCCCTCATTCAATGATTGGATTGCATGCTGCCGAAAAGGTACCAGAGAATTTTTTCAAAACGAGAAACTATGAGAAAAAGTCCTTTCATTTTCATTGGTCTAACCTAAGTGCTGAATACTATTTTTAGTATATTAGTTCCATTAGGTCCGCTTTGTCAACATAACACAGTTGGTGAAAATATTTTCAAATTATTAATAGTTGGAGATTTCATTGAAAATAAAAATAATATTGAATTCTGAACATATAAAATTTTAATGGGCCCACCTATAATGGTCAAATAGTTAGTTTCCATTCAGATATCCATAATAATCAATGAGTCCAAATCGATATCATTTTCTTTTGCTTTGTATTTTGGTTTACATTTTACGAGTATATAGTATTTGATAGTATTTGATTGATGTCAACTGTCTGTTCTTGATTGAATGGAAGAATAGTCATGCTCCGCCAAGTTAATAAAGATCCTTTATTTTCATTATTATTAAATAATCACAAGAGTTGAAAAACTTATTTCCTAGATTCAAATAATTGAGTACATGATCTTTTTGTATTTGGAGTTTACATGAAAAGTCTGTAAATTTATTGAACTTATTCATCGATTGTTCCTATTTGTTACAAAACCAACGAAATTTAAGTCTCAGCGATGATATGTTTTGAAGTATTATCGACATCGTAAAGTCTCAGCATTTTGGAGTGTTATCGAATTCGTAAATTCATTTTGGAAGATTCACTTTATAAAGAACGATACAGAATTGCAGCAACAACATATGTTAGCGCCCATCGTGCAATGGTGATACTTCCTGAAACAGAAATAACAAATGATCTGTATTATGTATTACAGGTCTATCTTAGAATGAATATTTTTTCGCAGTTTTTATTTTTGAAAGATATTCATAACGTCTTTGATGCTAAGCCGATGAGGTTCGATTTCTCGAATTCATTCTTTGAGTAATCTTGATGTTTGACCCACAAAATGTTTTTAAACGAGGCCATAAAATCGATTATAATTCAAGACAAGTTCGATTCATTTTTAATGAGCTGTTCGAAAAATACTTCTCTCCAGATATAAGAATATACACTGATTCTTCCAGCTTACGTGGAGCTGCTCACTGGCAATCATTATCGTATTGTTCTATTTATCTTGATTTTGACTATCTGGTACTGTTAATTGTCTATTTCTTGTCTTGAAGTTTCAACACAGGAACAAGGTATCTTACAAATGCAATTTTCTGTTCTTTCTCCTGAGTTGTTGGGTTTTATATGGGTGAGGACAAATTTCAGTGTTTTCTGATTTCTAAGAAGTTTTAACATCTTAATAGTCCAAGAATATGAGAAATATCGTTAGTTGTAGAAGGTGTCGATGGTTGTTGAGTCGGTAATTGTTGAATTTTCAATTGACTGTTAATTTTCTATTGCATTTATTGTTGGATCTACGAACGATTGTGGAAGGTGAAAATCCCCGAAAGCTCGATGAAAAATATTTCGAAATAAGACTTGACTTGTAGAAAAATAAAGAATGGAATGATAAGAATCGTCATATTTATGTAAAGAATTTATATATAAAATTAATTATTGTAATGATTTTTCTGTTTTTCATATTTTATAATATCATCATCATATTTCTTGATCACGTCTTTTTACTTTTTTTACCTCATTGTTCTGAAATACCTCCGACATTATTCAATGTTTCGGTATTTCTTTTTACGAACACGAAACAATGAGACGAGGATAGGTTATTTTCAAAAATGTACTACCTGAACTCAGGGGAATTATAGGAGAATAACGTCTCTTTGTGGAATCCTGAAATGGTCCCTTGTGAACTTTTTCTTTTTCTGAAGAAGATACCATAATAACTTCAAACTTTCCGTCCTGAATTTCCCCTGTATCGAGTCTCTCGTGACCTGTAATGAAAACCAATGAAAATATGTTGTTTTGCTCATTTCTTTATTTCATGTAAGGTTGATTTGTGGTATTCGATAAAACAAATGAAAGTTAGATGAGCTTTGGTACTGTATTATCTGAATAGGTGAAAATTTAAATTGTAACATAAAAGTAATGATGGAATTGACCGCGGTGATAATGCGCCCGACTCACAATCGAAAGACCGTGGGTTCGATTTCCGCCTCGACCAGATATTTTTCTCGAGAGAATTTATCTGGTTGAAGCTGAGATGATTCTGCAACCGTGTTAGGAATCACACGTTAAGAGGTAAGACCTTCAGCTCGCACAAGTTTCTCAACTTCTGAGAGTTGTCGTTCGTATGGGGGCGACAGATAATTAACGGAAAACCATATTTCAAAAACAGATTAAAAAAAAAGTTTTGGGTCGAAAGTTACGCAGATTAAGAAACACTCCAAATTTTTCACAGAATGACGAGTTGAAACACATTCATCAATTGTTAAATCATATCACATAGACTACTGCATATATGAATTATTGTATAACAGCCTAGGAAAGAGTTGCGAAAACTCACGATTTCTTGGAGGAAATGTTGCTGAAAATCATTATAAACAAGGGTTGTGAAAATGATGCTAATAGGTTCTTTGAAGAAGTCAATATTTTTTATGTCAGCCAAGTTAATCAATCAGTTCAAAGAGATAACTGACTTAACTCATTGAATCATACATATACCACATTCAACCGAAGGCGATACATTTCATCATATATGAAAAAATCAGAAGGATAGAAAACATGTGAATTTCTAGGACCATAAGTTTCCACATCATATACAAAATAGTACTTCGGTACCTGAATTTAAAAATCAATAAATTAATGAATTCCTAACACACCTCGTTTATCAAAACACATCGACGATAATAATAATAAGAATATGGGGGAGATACTAAATCCGTTGTTGGGAACAAGTACCGAATTTATTGGAACTATTCGTTCCCCATCCTCAGGTTCATACAAGCTGATAAGCCCGATGCAGTCCTTCTCGGCCACCAGAGCAAGTCGATTTTCTGATTGATTCGGCCGTTACTTGATGACGATCCATATGAATTTCATAAACTACACCTCACGATTTGATCTCCACAAACTTTATTTGAAAGATATATCACATGTTTCGCTAACACAGTAGCTTTATCAACAGTGATTCAAATCACTGTGTTAGCGAAACATGGAAAACATGAAACGTGATATATTTTTCAAATAAAGTTTGTGGAGATCAAATTGTGAGGTGTAGTTTATGAAAAAAGACCAAGACGATATTTGTCTTGGAGTTTTCAGCCCCTGGCGAAACAAATATTGTCCGAAAAGAAGAGGAAAACGGATAAAATCTCGAGATTTCCTCTTCGAACTCCATAGACTCAATCCAGACTACTCTGTCAAGTTGGTTGTTCTGATTATAGGAATCCTTGTTAGAATAATGCCCTCTCTACTCTCGAATCTCAAAATCATGCCGGCTTGCCGCATTAAGGCAGAAATCTCAACCGGACAAATGCAGAAGGCTGCCATTCTTGGCTCAGTGCGCTTATTCTGGGCACATGATTTTCGGATCCAATGATCACTTATCCCACGGTATGGGGACTGGTCGATGCCTAATGATACTGGCACTTCCTCCTGAATGTATCGGTGCTTCGGGGAATAGGGTCTGACCAGCGCAAACTTATGTTCATTCATCGTATGATACATGGTTTAGTGCATGATACATGATGAAAAATTACTTTACTTATAAAAACAGAAGAATAAACAGTGGTATCATGGAAGTAATTGAAATATTACTAGTGTGTGATGTTGCCAAAATTACATCAGAGTAGAGTAATATAATAATATTGAACTATTACTATTATATTATAAGTATTCGATACAACAAATCGAATACATTGTATTTAAGCAGTTCCACCAGCATCCGATAAAATATACATACCTGTGATAAATGTCAAAATCAGAAGTACTATCATCAGACAAATATGACAGATAAGTGAGATATGCCATATTCAGGAGAATATAAAAGTCAAAAACAGGTAAGTTAGTTTGGGTCTAAAAATTAAGTCACACTAAAGCATCGATAAAAAAACAATTCACTTGATGAACAATTTGCATTCCATTCTATATTTAACTTTGAAGGGTAAACATCACTCATTCATCCCCCTGTATAATCCATAATGCCAGATATTACTTTTCAACAGCATATTACCAGACGAATACTGAAATATCTTCATATCAGCAAAGCTTCTGGTCCTGATGAAACACCCGTCGTCGTACTTAAAAAATAAAATGGCAATAGTATTCTGTAAGTTATTCAACTAGTCTTTTGATAAAAAGGATTTTCCTCCTTGTTGAAAGATTGCTCAAATTCAACTCATCTGTAATTATGATCAATTGTTATTCTATCAGTTATATCAAAAATTGTGAAGAGCGCTGGTAATCAACATATTCATTCAGAAATGTATTAGGAAGCATTTGTAGTGCTGCACCATCTTAAAGGATCATCAATATGGTTTCCAAGCAAAGATCAACAGGCGATCTTTATATATTTGGAATAATATAAATTGAACTCCGATGTTATGTGATGGAATTTACCGATACTTGATGGAAATTCAAAACGTATTCAGATAATACTTCATTATAAGATTTTCACTAGACAGTTTACAAAATCGCAAACAACCGGGACACGTGTTTCGCTTTACAAAAATTTCACAATGAAGTGTTATTTAAATATATTTTGATGTTATGCTAGTCAGTAACATGTAAATTAAGATACAATCAACTAACACAACAACTGAACATTAAATAGTACAAATTTATTAATATAGAATAAAGAAAATACTTTTGTCTAGTTTCTACTGTGTTTATTTATTCGTTACGACCGGTTTCGGCTTATAAGGCCATTTTCAAGTAAGACAAAACTAGACAAAAGTATTTTCTTTATTCTATATTCCACATGAATTTCTACAAAATAAGTCATCAATCGAACGAGACAAATATATTAATTATCACTTATTATCACCGAAAGTCATTTACAATATTGCCTTATCTAATAGTCAGGTAAATTTTTAACAAGCTATATATTATACTATTAGGTATTGGTCCACCATCGTTATTCATATTATTATTATGTTTACTTCTTTCTACACTCTCATAGGCATCTAAATGCCTGTTTTTGTTAACTTGTATAACTAATCTCAATGAACTGAATACTATGGAATGGTTTTGTTGTATGATGGGCGACTGCTGATTTTTCAGGTCTTCCATATTTTAAGTGTGCTATGTGTTCCTTATATCTTATTTCAATAGATATTTAAGTCTGTCCATGATATTTTGCATCGAAGTCGCATTTCATTTCTTAAATTCCATACTTTTCCGAATTCTCGATTTTGTCTTTTGGATTTCCTAGAAAGGTCTGTAGTATATGACTTGCTTCATACCTAGTTCCTTGAAAATCTTTCCAAAGTTCTTCGTGTATTGGTGGCATGGAATTGAGATATATTTATCTTGGTTTTCGTCGTTTGTGAAAGTCGAAATTGCGTTTATTCCTTATAACATCATCTACAATACATCGATATAGCTTGTTTAAATAATATTTTATTTATCAGATTTACCTGACTATTAGACAAGGCAACATTGTGAAAGTAATTTAAGACATTTAAGACGCAGGTACCTAGCAGAGGTATCTAAGGTAATAAGGACAACATTATATGTATATTTACTTTAATCTTCCTCTTGACCGTATCTCCATATTTCTAATATGGAGATACGGATACATACAATATAGGTTTCCTATATAACGTGTATGTCACACTGTTTATTGACGTTTTAGCTAGGGTAATAGTAAGCAACAGGACATTCAAAATGAATATTATTCAAAGATATTTTCCAGCGGTAGACATTGAATGATGATGTCTGCCGCATTTGCAGACAAGGCATCAACCATTGCCGCATTGCCGAGCACAAGAAACACATACAGCGAGGGGAAACCAGCAAATCAGAAATAGCAAAGCATGTTTGGACCTATCAATATAACATCGGGTGGTCCCAAGCTGAGATCATACACAGGAAGGAACACTGGTTTAGGAGGAAATTCAAAGAAGCCGCATACATGTTTGTTCAACAATGTATTCAGCCAAGCTAGCATAGAGATACGCAACATATGTAAACCCATAAGCGAAAAATGGCCAATTCTTGCCAAACGGTCATCTCTCGCAAAACCCGTGAAGCGAAAAGAGGAGATAAGTGCAAGTACTCGAATAACCCATAAATAGTCGCCTCTCGAAGAAACGTCGTGAAGTAACTTGGCTTGGAAACTCTTAATTATTTTGATTTTTTATTTTTTGTTTGATTGTTCTATTTTTTTACTTGTATTATATTTCACTGTAATTTCATTTCAGTATTTTTTGCTTATTTTCAGCTATTCTTTTTAAATTTCAATTTGCATTGGTTCTTTTAGGGATTTCAAATAATTTTATATAATCACACGTTAAAAGGTAAGACCTCATTAATCCTTAGCTCGCACAAGTTTCAGAGGGTTCGACAGCTGGTTAAGGGAAAAACAGATTTTAAACAGAATATTAGACAATGTAAGTCCGAACTAATGAAAATCAGCCATAAAAGCCTGCATACCACAACCAACACCCGTAAAATAGCTTTGACATAGGTATCTCCAGCCGTGAAAGTTTACATTCTTTGATCAAATATCATTCAAGTCATTGATCGAAATCGTCACTGAATTTTAGTGTTACATATAAATACAGGATGCGGGTGGCCAAAAGATAACGAAATGAAGTCAAAAACTTCATAAAAATTTCATAACGATACACTTTTTTCTCAGTAACGTTTGTCTCCGCGACTTTCATATCGACTCCAAACGGTATTGAACGGAATTGGTCACCCTGTATGAAGGGAGCATGTCACAAAAAAGAAATAACATAGAGAGGTTCACAACTTACCTCCTCTGTTGTGAATGTTCGAAACTTGCATTTCTTTCGTCCTTGGAGGTTTCGATGTCATTGGCATATCTGTAAAAAATAAAGATTATTCAAGCAACTGTAGTAGTGATGATCTGTGAAAGCATAATTTGATATTAGTATTATAATGGTATGAGATAATAATATAGGATTTTTTTCATCTGTACTGAAAACCGTGTCGATCATCAACAATGGAATATTTTCAGTATAAGATTCAATTTTACACTAACATATTGTCGCCCTGGCTGTAAAACAACGTATCGTGACGTAATAATCGCAAAATATACCACGCTTCTCGAAGAGACAAGAATTTGGTGAGAACGTACTAGAATTATCGTCTTACTATGTATGTCATGTGTTCAGATTAGATCAGTTAAAAGACTTAGAAGGTTAGGTTGTGTCCAATGTGAGTGGGTCTCTTCTACCCCCCTGTAAACCTCGAGGATTCATTTTGGCTTAAACAATTTTAAACTCGACCAAATAAGTCCAGATTCTTAACGACGCTGATTACTTTATTTGAAGAATGATCTAATGATCTTTCAAGTTTTCATTCCGCCGACAGTGACCTATAAATATTTCTGTTAGACAACGGAGGTCACCCTTGCTCTAATCTAACACTTGTTTGGTAACGAACTTCGAAGGATGTATAAATACCTGGAAATGGGTCAATCCTGGTAGATTTTGTCAAACGTCTGAAACTCTTCTTTCCGTACAGGTATTCAGTGTTTGTTGGGAAAAGCCTAAAGCGATTTAAATCACAGGCTTCAGTCTGATGAAATCGTTTGCAGCGCCCACACTTGCAGAAAACTCAGCAGCTTCATCACCCATTAGGCTAGTGTGACCAGGAGTAAAAACCAAAGGTAATTTGTTGAGATTTTCTATCAGAAATAGTTTTTTGGCAGTGCATTTGGACATTGTTCGATAAGAGCCAAGTGCTGACAAAGTCTCTTGGTTATCCGGGAATATTTTTATTGACCTATGTGTGAAGTTGGTTTCCGCCAATATCTCCACGCATTATTCAATGGCGCATATTTTCGCTCAAATATGGTGGAATAATTTCCTTGGCAGACCAAAAAACTTTGCCCTTATTCTGTGACTGTATACATCTGCACCAGAACCTGGGGTTTTTTAGTCTAATGTGGAGCTACAGCTATCTACACTTACTAATTTCTCCCTCCAGATGATCCAATCCTCTCTTCTCGAGATTAGGACTGTATGAGATAAGTCACACTTGACTGTTGGAGGCATTGAGTCGGAGGTCATTTCCAGAATGATGTAACTTCAATGTCAACTAGTAATCTGCTAGCTATGTTCCGCATGAACCTGTTTGGTGTAATTGCCAATATGCATAATTGGTTTGAATTGAAGGGGTTATATTTTTAGGAGTGATTATAAAAATCACATAACCTAGATCGATTGTGTATAGAAAATCATTAGAAACTGAAAAACTAGTTTCGTTGCCAGAACTATCAATAATAGCATACAATTACTGTGATCCTTCAGATGATTGCGATTCAACCATCAACGTGGTACATTGCAAGGTTTCCTCTGCGGTCAAAAGCAAATGCAAAAAATGAAAGTTCGAAAGGAATATACATTTTTCATACTGAGAATATAACTTGGATAATACCTTCAACATAGATTAGAAATTATATTTACCATAAAGTCGAATGGACCCTTCAGTTTCACCCAACGAATTTTTAGATATACATCGGTAGGTACCAAAATCTTCAATTTGTAGATTTCGCACAGTTAGTTCCATATGCGTTCGATAACTGTTCTCTGTTATTTTAGTACCATATTTTTTTGTAGAAAGCAACATGATATTATCATACACCCAATAGCTGATTGCTCTAGGATATGCTTCCGTATGACAGTCGATCGTTACATCTGAACCCATTGGTGCTCCGACCAGCTGATTTGGTACAAATATCATTGGAGAAACTGCAATAAAAATAAATTCTGTCAATTTCAGATTACAAAAATGAGAATCACTACATGTTATAAATTAAAGTCTCCCGCTCCATACGGATTTTTATAGGATTCTCTCCAATGGGTGGAGAGGAAGTAGTCATATTACCTGTTTGATTTATTGATAGTTTGTTCGAATCAGTTGAAATATAACGATATTAGACATAAGAAGTCGGGGCGGAGGTGCTATTCTGGGAGCTTTCACCGAAAATGCTGCCCAATCTCTTTCAATAAAACAATTCACTACATATTGTTTTTTTGTTTTTTTTAATAGGTCTACAAAAGAGTCCGCGATCATAAATTTATCTATCTACAGCTTACTCTATCCATTATTCTGTTTGAAATAATGGTCCTTATCATATGATTACGTTACTTGATAATTGCCTTTTACTCCAAACTATGCAAGTGGCCGACAAATCGATGTGATACACAGTTGCGTTTTCAAGTATTAGTTCATTTTGAAGTTGAGTCGCATTTTTGCTTGAAGCGAGGCATGGAATGGTTCCAAATCAATAAATTAACTGTTCATTACCAAAAAACTTGGTACTTGCCATTTATATCTTATATTAGCGGATTACCGAACTTAGGTCCCCTTAAAGTAGGATTAAACAAACAAATTCCTTCAGCAACATCGGTGAAATACGGTGTCACGCTAGATCGACATATGAAGTGGGTTTACATATGCAACAACTTCTCAAAAAATTAGAAGGGTTATTTCCGAAATTCAGATATCTCAAAGAATTTATGGATTTATTAGACAATTGAAAATGATTTATTTCTCGATAGTACAATCACATCTTATATATGGAATTTTAGAATGATGGGGTGTTAGTGATTGTTTTACAGAAAACGTAAATGTGGTTTAAAAATGGATATAAATGGATATAAAGAAGCTCAAATCATGGACGTCAAACAACTTTTCTGCATGAAAATATTATTACTCATAAAAAATACAAAAATTATATTACAAGTTTATAACATGAATATACGAAAGAATTATTCTATATTTTTACCCAGATGTGACAAAACGATTGGACAACGAAGTGTCAATTACCTGGCACCAAGAATATATAAGCAAATACCTCGAGATTCAGAATATTGAAAAATTCAGAAAATTCAAAAATTCTTTAACTGAGTGGCTTCTCAAGACGGAACGTAATATTTTTAGTAATATGATAAATTCTAAGTGAGTATTTGGAAAAAACTGGATAGAGTCTGCGGAGTTCGAAGAGAAAATCTCGATATTTTATCCGTTTTTCCTCCTCTTTTCTGGCGATATTCATCTCGCCAGGAGCTGAAAACTCCACGACAAATATCATCTTGGTCTGGTGGTCGAGAAGGACTACATCAGGCTTATTAGCTTGTATGAGCCGCGTTATGTCGATGGATATAGGCCGAGACCGCATATGCTGGACATGCTGATAGCAAGTGCATTAGGGTCTCGGGCGCCTCGCGGCAGGCCCTGCACCTTGTGTCAGGAACCTCTATACCCATCACGCGACTGCGGTAGACTAAGGTGTTGAAGACACCATCCTGGCAAGCCATGATGAACCCCTCAGTTTCCGACTTCAGCCCACTCGACCTGAGAATAACGAAGGTCAGGCGCTTTGATAAGCCAAGGTCTCCAATGTTATTGAAGAAGACCCCATGCATTGGCTTATCCTTGTGTTTCCACAGAAGTAAGGTGATCTCTGCGGCTTTCATCTGAGCTTTTTGCTGAACAGGTTCCAACTCGGTGACAGAGTTGTGGTCACCTCGTTCAGTGTCGAAAACTATACCGAGTTCATCAGCTGCTCGGGCAGGAATTGGAGAAATACTCCAATTCCTGCTCTCTCATGGTTACGGACCATGCAGAGGAGGGGATCCGAACTTCTGACGGCTGTATCCAGTACCATTCTGTCATGTAGACACTCCAAACTCAAAAGTCCACGGCCTCTCTGTTGTCGGGGGAAGTACAACCGTGGAACGGACGATTTGGGATGCAAACTCCTATTGAGATGCATCATTTTTCGGGTCTTTACGTCGAGTTGATACAGCTCCTCCCGAGTCCAATTCACTACTCCAAACGAGTATTATTATTATTATTATTCCAAAGCACTCGGGACTGTTTTGGAATATTTCATGACCTGGAATATTCCGTCATGCTCATGAAAGTTTCAGACTATTTCCGATAATTTCACAACATTTTGGAATGTCCAGGTGGTATGATTTGGTATACGGTCCAAGCTATTCAACTCCCTTGATCGTCCAGATGTGATCTGGGATGTTCCGAGATATTCCCGAACATTCTGCAGTGTTCTAGAAATTTGTAGAGGGTGAAACTTTCGGTCCTCACATCTTTTGAACCCCCTGTCAGGTAAAATTGGTAACCTTCGTGGGCCAGCTGATGTGACACTAGGACCATGTATGGTTGCTACCCACGCGAAGCCAGGACAGGTCGCCAGTTTTGTGAGATCTCCTCTTATATGGCGACTGCCCCGACTTCGCACGTGTGCAATCTCGTGTGCAATCTCGTGTGCAATCTCTACTTTCATCGTTGTATCTTGTAAAGGGAAGCTGCGATCCGAATAAGTTAAAGATGAATTCACATATACATTCAACCAGAAACGTTGTCAACCGTATTGAAACCCGTGCTAGGAATCACACGTTAAAAGGTAAGACCTCGTCATTCCTTTAACAGAAATAGCCTGGAATTTTTTAGGGTTCATGATTTTTTTCAATTACGAATCAATTTAGAAATATAAACATATGAATTCAAAATATTATAAGAATCCTTATCATCTAGAGTGTTCACCTGCATAACTTTGTGCCAATAAAATTTTATTGTTTCTCCAAATGTAAACAATTGATGCATTCATTTTAATTTGATATCAGTGTTCATTATTTTCGAATCGTCGATATACTGAATATATAAATAAGCAAGGTAACATCTAAAAACATTTCTGTTGATTGATGAAGTGAATGAAGAAACCCAAATTTTACTTACATAACCTATTATTGGTTGTATTGAGTTTCAGTGTGCAGTGTCAAGGTGTCTCTATAACATGGCTGTATCCAACATATGTCTTGAAAGTGTGACTTCTGATTTTTCTTCTGAAGTTGAAGAAATGATAGAACTGGAAACCAGAGGCCAATCTTTCGAAATTGAGACTCCTGAGCGTGTTGCTCAAGTTCACTCTCAAATAATGGGACAGGAAGAAAAAAAAGTATGTGGGCTTAAATCTTCAAAATGGGTGATAATATTTTTCCTGTTAACTACGCTTTTGCTGTTTTATATGATATATAGAGACATTGTTAAACAAATGAAGGATATTGAAAAAAAAATCAAACACCGTTTCAATTCCTCAGATGCGGCATTCAGCATTACAGCCAATCACTCGACCATCAAAAATATGAACTGAATCATGTATAATTATTCGAAAAATATGTAATTCTTTCAATTTGGAAGTGAAGTTATCATTCAAAATAGTACACACATCAGTAATTCAGTTGTCAAAAATAAACCATTGTAGTAACCTAACATTTTTTAAATGAACAAACTGTTGTTGCTGCGAATGTTTAGTTTTATTTCACTAAATAATCATCACGAAAGTGATAAAAATATTAATTTAAATGGAAAACAATTGGGAGCAATTTTTGTAGAAAAATGTTTGTGAGGTAAAACCAGGCGATTTATTCTATTGTGGGTGGTATAACACCGGCTGGTTGACACCGGCCAGGTGGAAATGTTATTTAGAATTTAAAAATGTTTGAATTTATTGAGTATATTGACATTCTTAACTTCAAAAAATGTTCAAATATTAAATATATTGTAATCAATTATTATATAGAGATATGAGGATAACACTATTTTTTTCAAGTATTGAGTTTGAAATGTTTTTTTTATTTGAAGGGTTCACATTCACTTGTGGTAAGTTTTCTTAAAATATTTTGTTTTCCATTTCTCTTTTGAATAAATCTACTTCAAGTAAATTTTGGGTAGAAATTGTTTTTCGGAATATTTATTCTCTGAGACATTGAAAGTAAATAAATACTATGGAATATCAAAAGTATGCAAATAGGAAATCATTCATCTATTTTTTGTGATGGATTCGTTCAATACTTGCTGGAAATGTTCAAATACAGTATTATCAGTTGATTCAAGTATGCAGGATCGGATAGTTACACCATGTCTGTCATGATTTAGTTTGCTACGTTGAAGATTGGTTGTTGTATATGTACATTAATGAAAAAGTAATGAGAATTATATTTTGGGGATCTATTTGAAATGTCAAAAATACCCGTCTAAAACAGAACGAAAAGGATTGCCAGTTCAGAAATGTAAAATCGGTGAAAATTATCAATTAGAAAATTATTGAGTTGGTTGGCTTTTTCTTTCTTGTTCAAGTATCTCTTTTTTCTGTTTTATTTGCTTAAGTGCTCTCTGATTAGAAAGGTTTAGCAAAAAAATTCAAGTTTCAATAGAATTGAATGATATAAAATCAGTTTTGAGCAGCAACGTTTCTGTCGCTTTCATAATATGGACATTAGTCTTTACAAGAATCTGTAACCCAGTATTTTTAGGAAGGATAAAATTTGTGAAGATATCAAGTTTCTTCAGCAAGTAGGTATCTGTAAAATGAAGGTTATGTTCATGTTTTTAATCGGGTTTTCCATGAAACCAGATGAGTTGGTAGATGAAACTGGAACCTCTGGCGTATGATAAATCTTATCAGAACACTTTTTCCATCCAGAACTGAAGCATTGTCTCTTGACGCACGTTTTGCTAACCAAATAATAATAATATTTATTTGCCATTCAATTTAAAATACACAATAATCTTAGTTAATGAAAAATAAATATAGTTCCCACAGAAAGATAAACCTGTGCGTGGGCTATATAATTTTAATATACAATAGATTATAATGAATGAAATATAAAAATAAAGTTTTTTTCACTATGAACAAAAAAAGCACTAGCAAAATTGTATACAGATTTTACATTAAAATCATATATAGTCAATATAAATAGAAACATTCAGCATGAACAAAAAAAGCACTAGAAAAATTATATACAGATATCACATCAAAAT